AACTGGCCCCAAGTGGACAGAAGGCCCGGTGGGGACACGCATCCTCCCTGAAGCAGGGCGGGACTGACGCGGCTCGGGCGTCCTCCGGCCCCGAGGTGGGCTCCTCGGGGCCTTCCTGCTCCACGTCGTCGTCCTCCTCATCCGTCGTCCCGGACTCCTCGCTGGACGACGAGTAGTCTGTCACCTTGTGCGGCGGCCGCACATCTTCCGCCGCTCGGAGCTCTCTGGCCAGGGCCGTCAGGTCCTAGTGCAGGAGACAGAAGAGAGGGTCAGGCGGGAGAGTGACAGGGAAACAGCACAGGGCCAAGCGCTTCGCTCTCACTATCCATCAAACGGCCGCGCCAGCTTTGCCAAACTGCCTTGCAGGGTGTTTACCGGTATCGTGGAGGGGAGCTCTCAAAGCTTTCGATAGAAAAGACAAGACCAAGAAAAGTCAAAAAGATAAAACAAAAGACAAAAAAGATTTTTTTTAAAAGTCCAAGGTGGGGCTTCCCCGGTGGCACAGTGGTTGAGAGTCCGCCTGCCGACGCAGGGGACACGGATTCATGCCCCGGTCCGGGAAGACCCCACGTGCCGCGGAGCGGCTGGGCCCGTGAGCCATGGCCGCTGAGCCTGCGCGTCCGGAGCCTGTGCTCCGCAACGGGAGAGGCCACAGCAGTGAGAGGCCCGCGTACCGCAAAAGAAAAAAAGTCCAAGGTGCTGTACACAGTTCAAACCTCACAGCCGTAAAAAAAACAAGAGCCGAGAGCATTCTTTTCCGGCTATAAAATTCTGGATCAACAGCTGTGTGCAGACAGACCTTGGTAGTGTGTTATAAAGACGCCCGCCCCTGTGACAAAGTCTTCTTTTGAGGAGATTTTGCAGAAAGCAAGATTTTAGTTAAACAGGGGTGATTTAAAGTACTTATTTGGTGAGGTTTTTTAACTCCAACTTTTATTTTTAAAAATTTCCAGCTCGCAGAAAAATGAGAGTGAAGTGAGCACAGGGTATGGCTCACATCTGGCTTAACCGAGGGTCAACAACTTGCCACGTGCGTGAACAAAGTTCCTGACGTGTGCTGTGAGAAAGCGCTGCCGTGTGTCTGGCCGTGGGAAGGCAGCTCGGCAGGCTACCCTGCCGCTGCCTCGAGCGTGCACGCCGGAGGGAGAAGCGGCCCAGGGTAAGCGCTGCTGTTCACGAGGGCTCCAGTTCCCTTTCCTCTTCTATATGCAGACACCGTAAGACCCGATCAACTATCCAAATATAACTTCCGAGCTTGACTATTATCTCTACTCTACATTTTCATACAGAAGTTCAACGTACGTATCTTTCCACTTAAAGTTTTTACTTAAAAAGTAATGGTTTTTTGGAAGGCAGGCTATGTGGCCACTCTTCCTTTTCCTTCTGGCGTCTCTTCTTCTCACCAGGTAAGAACACGCTTCTTTCCTTGGAGCCTGAGCCTCTGAGACAAGCGAGCAAGGACTGGCCTTGAGTCCTGCTCGCGACTTCCCGAGAACAGCTGCGGCTTTTTGTGAAAGTGACTTTAAAGGGCCGTATTTAATAGTAAGAATGAAAGCAGGCAGCAGATTTGGGGTGTTAAGAAACATGAAGCAAACATTTAGGGTTTCTAATTCTAGAAGAGAGCAAGCTGAGAAAGGAAGAGGCACGTAGGTCGAATGCAGGCTAAAGTTAGAATATGCTGCTCCGACGCTGAACCGTTCAGACGGCGCTTACCACATCACCCTTCGGTCAGCGGGGTCCCATCGAGCCAGAGGAGCCATCGGTGAGGAGGAAGCCACAGCACAGGAAGCAGGGAGGAAAGAAGGGGGGAGGGGGGCACAGAAATCAGTGCAAGCGGGAGACAAAACAACCCCAGCAGGCTCAAACCCCCAGTGCGCCCAGTGACGGGCAGCAACTGCGTCGAGGACTAAGGAGAAGAGAAACAGCCACGCTGCCGCCCCACGTTCCAAAGGGCAGAATTTAAACCATGGGAGAGTTTAAGAAGGTGGTGGAAAAACATCTCTTCCAAAAGCCAGTATTTTAGATGCCCACTCATCAAGAGCATGTAAAGGTTGATGCCAAGCAAAGAGACAGAAGGCTTTTCTTTCTTTTGTATTTTTTAAATGACTGAGGGCCGGGGCGGGGGCTGGGGCAGCGGCACAAGTGGGCCAAGGTTTACAGCTTTCCTTATAACCCCTCAAACCTGCGAGACCCCACAGGGAGGCCTGCAGGCCACACAAGGAGAAGGCTTTAATAGAAAGATCTCACTCGAGTTTGAAATGAGTAAAATGGATTTTGTGCAATTCTTACAGCGGGCTTGAGAGGTCTAAAAACTTCCTTTTTATCTTCAGGCTTTTTTGCTGCATTTTCAAGGCGCTGAGATGGCGAGCCCTCAGATTTGGATGACGCTGTGAAGTTCAGAGACAAGAAAGGCCGAGTCACGTAAACATCTGAGTGTGGGCCACGAAGCCACCCAGCCCCCCCTGGCCCCCCGTCCTCTCCCCTCATTAGCCTTGCTCACAGCAAGGTCTCCACGCGCTGGTCTGAATCCCGGGGTTTGTGGCTCCTTCCCGAGAGCCCTCGACTATCACACTGCACTAACACGTGTTCACAACTCCTTGTGACGTTACATCAATAACACAGTAGAGGGAATTTCCACTAATCTATTCTTATGAGTAGGTTAAGATAACCAACACTGATGACAATACCGATGGAGTTTAGACTCAGAAAAGTGGGTTCAAATCTCAGCTTGGATATTTAGTTAATCACCTTGGACGAGTTACGTAAACTCATTAAACTGCAGTTACTTGAATCTGCAAAATGGAGACAATATATACCCATCTCCTGGGGTTACTGTAAGGGTTAAATGAGACAATGCATGGACAGTACTCAGCGTGTGTAAGCTCTCAAAACCTCACTCTTTACTATTAAAATTATGCCGACTATTATTAGTGTCACTAGCAAACCTACACTGAAGCACTGTTTTGTATTCATAATATGCAGCTGTGAAAAATCACAGGTCTTTTCCATGACTGAAAAGGATTTCCAAAATACAGTCAACCCTTGAACAACACGGGCTGGAATTTCGAAGGTCCACTCACGTGTGGATTTTTTTCAACAGTAAATAATTCCGTACTACAGGATCCACAGCTGGTTGGATCCATGGGCGTGTAACCACGGATGCAGAGGAACCGGGGGTACAGAGGGTCGACTACAGATGAGGATTTTCAACTGGTGGGGGGTATCCCTAACCCCTGGGTGTTCAAGGGTCAACTGTACTGATTGGAGCCCGATACGGAGAACAGGCACAGGGAAAAGGAAAGGTAGGCATCCTACATCTCACTCTGAAGCGCTCCCCGGAGCCGCTCTGAGACCCAGGGTGGGAGCCGGGCTGGGATCCTGAGTTGCTGGACCCCGAGGAGCTGCCACTGCCAGGCCTGGGCACAAGCTTCTCCACTCTCTCCCACAGCAGCCTGGGCTCGATGCTGCTGTTGGAGAAGACGACGAGAACAGCTAATGCATTATCCCAAGATGCAGGGTCAAATTATAAACATGCGCACCATGTCATTCGAACGCAGGGATAATGAGAAAATCAGCCTACCAACAGCATTTAACGTGAAATTCACCAAAAGTTACAGTGGCATTATTCATTGGTTTTATCTCAGATATCTCAACAAACCCAAAATGCTAAAAGACATTCTACCATTAGCAGACAAATCTTCTCTGGGTGTGAGAGGAAATGCTACTGTTTGGTCTAGAAGTGTCACTAGTTCTGTCTCAGCTACAAACTCAAGTTTCTTACTACGAAAAATTCCACTTACATAATTACACACAAAATCAAATTACACACAAATTCCCAGTACCGACCACCACCCCTCACGGCTCTCAAGAACTGACACTTAGGCAGTACGCTTGTTCTTTCGTGCTCTGGGCTGGAAATGTGACCCGACACGGGCCACGGTGTATCCCTGCTGTTGACACACCACAGCATGAGTTTTCTAGGTAAGAATTAACACATGGACTCGGGCACAGGAGAACCCCGCAGCCCACCCTGACCACTGAAGGCTCAGAAAGCTCTCTCCCTGCAGCTTCTGGGCTGTCACCCACTCCACTTCCTCATGTTATATACCGAGACACCAAGTAAAGAGGTTCAGTGATGACCAGAGTACAAAACACTCAAGACCACCTTTCCTTCCTCTAAATCGGTACTTGCTGGTCGATGGAACGGAGGTGATGACAATATGCTACCGCTGGGAATACGGTCGCCACCGGCTACGTGAGGTAAGGAGCCCCTGGAATGTAGCTAGCGCAGCTAAGGAAATTAAGTTTTAATTTTATGTAATTTTAATTAACTTCCATTCAAATTTAAGTAGCCTCGTGTGGCTAACAGCTCCCATATAAAACAGAACGGCTCCAGAACCTGAAAATACTTTGTGGTTAATTCACGAGTTTCTCGCCAACTCTGAGTCAACCACTCCCTTTCTTCCGTAGCCTGTGTGTGATTTCCGTACACTCCCAGAGCTCCCAAACATCCTTTGGATAGCAAGCCCTCTCGGGTTACGATTCCCTTAGAATCCCCCCTTCCCTGCTGTTCCTTCCTGTTACTCTCACCGAGGCAGGCAGTTTTCACCTTAAAACTGCTGCAATACACAGTCGGATTTAATCTCTCTTTTCACCGCAGATCAATTTGATGTCATTCATGTGAATGGACTTCACGGCATTTTCTTTATGCATGGATCACCTCTTTGCCCCAGAACTTCCATGTTTATGAGCATTTTTATGCAAGCAGACGGTATAATACTGCAGGACACTGTGTAGTAAACCTGTCCCTAAGCTTCGCTCTTCTCTTACCTGGTGGAGTTTCTCTGACCTGCTTGGCTACTTTGCTGCCCACTGCCCTGCAGCGGGGAATCCCGACGGGACAGGACGGGGGACCGGGACGTCGTTCTCACAGGAACCTTTGGGTACAAAATACAGCAATTAAATGACTGAAAACATGAGGAGGGGAAGAAAAGACTACTCCCTACCAAACATGTCTCTAAGGCAGTCCTAGTTACCTTAGCCTTGCTATCCCTGACCTACCCCCAATCCCTGATCCTTCTCTGCCCTCCAGTGATACAACAAAGAGTAGTCCAAGCCGTCAAAGGCACTGGGACAACCTTCCTATGCTCCTAACCACATTTAAATGATGTTGGCACTGAAGCTTGGTGGCAGGGCACGTACAAAGCATCTTACTGAGATAATGTGAGAATCAGGAAAACAAGCTCAAAGAAACCAAACAATGGCCTACAAATGGATCAGCAAGAAACAAAGAATGTAGGAAGCAAGGAAATACTCAGAGGAAGCAAATTCCAAGTGGAGGAAAAATAAAATGTGTCTTTTTGTTTAATTTCAGCATTAAGCAATTACCAAACCAAAAAATTTAAAACCATAGAATTAAAAAAAATACCCAAACAAAAACAAAAATCCCTCAATTAAAAAAAAAAATCATTTTTTGAAACATTTATGTTAATTTTTTCCCTTATAATACCTTTTCTGAAAGTTCTGATATTAGTTAATGGTGCAAAGTAACTGATAGCTTTTGTATAAACTTAACACGACAGCTGCTAAAACAAATTCTGCTTCGGTCTGTCCTAGAAGCACACCCTTTATAGATGTACTCTTAAGTTATTTTGGTACCTTGTGCTCAAGTACAGAGTCAGCGACAGCAATGAAAAGGTAACTGGCCGACGGCTGAACCTAACTGCCTCACTATGGAATTTTCTCCCCACCGTCAAAAGTTCCTCTGCCATTGCCCCTTAATTCTGGTGGCGTCACCACACCCTTAATTGAAATAAATAATTTTTTTAAAATAACGAAAAGGAAAAAGAAGCACACATCTGTCTTCCTGCTTCTTACCCTTGGAGGCACCTCGTCACTGTCTGATCTAGACCAAGCCTTTTGGGCGGGGTCGGGTACCTCCGACTTAGAGTCAGAACTCTGACTTAGCACCTCACTGCGGGAAGGTGGACATGGGTCCTGAGAGCGAAGATGGTGGTGTGCAAATTTGGGAGGAGAAGGGTCACTGAAGGAATGGGATCGCGAGACAGGGGAAACACTGTTCTTGAGAGATGCCAGGTGGGACCACTGTACCTTACAAGAAAACAAAACACAAAACATTCAATGCGTTCTGCAGAAAACGCTTTTCTGGTCAATACCAAATCCAAAGCGGGAGCCGGGGCAACGCACAGGAGGCAGTCAGGACTAGGTCAGCCAAGCAGTACAACAGTTATGCTCTAAGTGGAGAGGTGGTCTGGGGAGCACAATATGTAGAAAAGAACAAAGGTACGTTTATAAGGAAAACTCTTAATATCCAGACAAATGTTAGAGAGCAGTAAATGTGAAGATTTACAAAAAAAAAAAAGAAAAAGCCTCACAGCGCTCCTGTCTGAGGGGCGACGTGCGGCATGCATTTCTGCGTCAAAGCAGCGTGGACACGCAGAGAGGGAGGCGACCGCAGGACAGACGTCGCCACACGTGCAAACCTCTCTACCCACCCTCCCGTTACCTGGCAGGGCAAGACGTCTGACCAAGTAACAACAGAGCCACGTGTTTACTGTGCAAAGACCAACCCCGCATGTTTGGACGGAGTATAAGAGTGTAACTTAAAAACAGCCAGCTTTTCAAATACACCACCGATTTTCCTTCTTTCTCGTCCCAAGTCTGAAAACACTCCAACCCCACAGAACTCCACATACCTTTGTACTAGTTAGAAAAAAAAAAAAAGAACTTTGATTTCTTTGTATCCTATTCAGCGCTAGGATTCCCTAAAAGGACTGCTGGGGGGGCGGGGGGGGGGGGTATTCCTTCTACTTGACAACTGAAGAAATAAGACAGTTCCTTGGCAACTGAGTTCATCTGGTCACTTCCAAGTTGGAAAAGCAATCTCTGAAACAATCTGCATTTTCTTGAAATTATACTTTTTGCTTTAAAATAACTGTTCAATGTGGAAATTTACATAATTCTAGTTATATATCTGTTACATCATCACACGTAATAAAAACAGGAAATACCGAATCAGGACTGGCTCAACCGTGCCAAGCGTTAAGATACAGAATTAGTTCCGAAAGAATGTCTTCGCCAGTACAGCTTTTGGCCAAAAGCAACTTCAGATAGAAAAGGGACTCTTCTGCCTGGCCCTACGTTAATTAATCAGCAGAGTATCAAAAGCAGTCTACACAATTCATGAACTCCTATCTCCTAAACTGTCAGTGGCCACATAAAGATTTTCTATTTACAGTAAGTATAATGGTCATCAAACCTATCTTCCTTGTCCCCATTCCCCTCCCCTTTCCCCCTTCATCCTGTCCCGCTTTCTTCTGCATCATCCTTCTTTCCACTCCTCACTCTCTGGAGTTGCCCAGTGGCTTGTGCGTCGGCTCTTCTGTGAATCAAGACGCTGCTGGTCTCACGTAAACACCAACCTCCCAGCACCTGCCCCCCTGCCGAGCTTACTCCTGGGTCTTCTTTTTACTGTGAAACTGCTCCATACCAAGGATCTTTATTGTAAAGTGCATTCAAGTCCTCATCCGGGTTTGTGTGAACGCCACCGCTACCGCTACCATCCCCCAACACATGCAAACATCAGTGACAGGTAAACTCGGGCTCAAGGACTTGTGCCCAGTACTCCGGATGGCACGGCTGCAGGGAGCAAAATGCCTGAAAGTCAATGATTTTCAGCAAGAGTGGGAACCAGCGTCTTAAGGATCTCTGGGATCTCCAACATGCGTCATCTCTGCTGCCTGCTTTCTCCGCCAGACAGCACGGAGGTCCCCGACCTGGGCGAGGCCGAATGCTGGGGCCGACCCAGTGGCCCCTATCCTGACCTACATCAGGAAAACCCACACCCAACCCACCGGGCCGTAACCTGTTTTGGATGTTGAACCTTTTGGAAATCTGATAAAAGGCCCTCTTCCCAAATATATATGTACATTGGGACAAATCAAAAAAATTGTACATGGAATTTCAGGGATGCCCACTCGTAGACCTGGCTGGGAGCCAAGGACCCCAGGTTAAGAAAAAGTCTCCCTCTATGTACTTACGACACTAACTTTCTAAAAACTAAACTGAAAAGTCTCTGTATTTGAGTAAGGAGGCACTTGTTTACGAACATCTGAGTCAGGGAAGGCAAAAAGTCAGACAGAAGGAAGAAATCACTGAATCCAGATATTATTAATAAGTACAACAACAATCTTTAAAAAGAAAATCCTGTTTTTCCCTATCAACTGAGGCTACGTCCTCTTTAGTCTAAACTCCCTCTGCTAAACTCCTCTCTCTCTAAATGCGGTAACAAACCAAACTGAGCAGTTCAAGCAGGCTGGTGGCTCAGTGAGCCTCTGTGTGCGTCTCCTTGACCCACAGCCAACTGGCCGTTCTACCTGTGGCTCGGCTGGTCTCTGCAGGGCAGGGTGCACAGACTCGGAGTTGCCATTGGAAAAAGATTCTGATCTGGAAGGCACTGGTGGCTCCAATACTCTGCCTGTCTGCTTAGACTGGGCTTCAGGGGAGCTGTGGTTAGTTTTCCTAAATCTATCTTCCACCTGCGTCAGAGAATTAGAAGACATAACTCAGGGTTAGTAGAAAAAAGCAGAGATACCGAAGAAAGCCTGAAAGTGGAAGGAGTCTAAAAAGAAGTCTTCTGTTTTCCTCGACTACAAGAAAAGAGAGGAGGCATGTAACACTAGACTAGGATCTGATGCAGAATACGGAATATTCACGAAGATAAAAATTTAGAGAGGCAGCCTTTAAAATCTCCCCCGGCGAGAAGTCTGGGATTGCGCGTGAAGACAAACTAGGTAAAGAATTAATCTGTCACAACCAACTAAACCCACGGATTAAAAGAGCGTCACCAGGAATCTAACACACGTTTCATTCCACGAAAAATAAAGGCACTGCAGAACAAGCAGGACACTTGCTCCTAGAATGTGCCGTGTGAGGGCCGGCATGGCGGGAGGACGCCCCTGCCCGGGCCAGCATCCCACACTCTGCAGCCCGCCCGGCCCACCCTGCCAGGGTCCGAGGAGCGGTCCTGCTTCAACGCATCCTCCCTGGGAAGCTCTGGGAGCCCAGACGCCCCAGTTCAGTAGCAAACCCTGATCACCGAAAAGCCAGTGAATCAGGCCCAGGCAGGCTCCATCCTCGCGGCAGTTTTGGAAAAACAGATGACAGGCCACCCTGCCCATCATTTACAGCACAAAGAAAAATGCTGCCACACAGCCTCCTCTCTTTCCGTCTCTTGGTCAGCGTCCAGGTCCCCCGAGATCTGCAAAGCTCTGAGGCGCTCCGCTCCCCTCTAGACAGACACTAAGCAGAGAAGAGGCCCCGCCCTGTGCCCTGGGAGCGCGCCCGGAACGGCGGGGGCCGTACCTCGCGGGCCCGGTCGGCGGGCTCGTGCTGGGCCTTGGGCTCGGCGCCGTGCAGGCCGGCCTTGCTCCTGTCCGGCGGCGGGGGCGGCCTCCGGGGCTCATGCTGCAGAGACAGGAGATAGGCTTGCTCCTGCTGCAGCTGCCTCTGGAGCCGCTCCGTCTGCCGCTGCTCCTCCAGCTCCCGCCAGCGGCACTCCTTGGGGGGAGAGGGACACTCAGTCCGGGGCCCGGCGCCCACCGCGCCCCGGCTCACTTCTCCCCAGCCCGGCATTCACCGACGCTTGTTTGGTGACAGAGCACAACGGCCGGGCTGTGAAATGGCAGGTTACCTGTGGGAAAACCTGACAGCTTGTCGCTAAGCATACTGTCACTGGACAGAGTAAGAGAGAACCCAAGGCAACGCTGGTCTCGGCGGTTTCAAAGGACACTTGGAGTACTCTAGGTACGGGTCCTACGGCACGCGCCTTGAACCGCCAGCTCTTGGCATTCTAGCCTGTTCACCAAATGCCAGGTGCTGTGCAAAACCTCGTCTATCTACCAAACGAGAACAGTTAACTCAGCAACGGGAAATAAAGAGGTAAACAGAAGCCGCCCCGACGTGGGCCCGGCCCTGCCCAGCGCGGGGGGCCCTAGCTACGGGACGGGGCCAGCGCGGGGCGTTACCAGTAGCATGGCCTGCTCCTGGAGCAGCTGCTGCTGAAGGAGTTCCAGGTGCCGCTGCTCCTCTTCCAGCTGCCGCCTGATATACTCCTGTCACACAGAAATCAGCCGGCAATCAATGGAGCCCCAAGGAAAGCACCAGAACCACCTGCTGGGGCGCCCAGAACCATCCGCCCGATCATCTGGGGTAATCCACTTAGCGATCAACGGCTAAGACAAGCCTACTGCCGAGAATTCTCCCAAGAACTTCGAATTAGTCTCTAAGATCTAAAGAGTCTAATAAATGATGACACGCACTCAGCGATGGTGTGTGTGTATGTGTGTGTGTGTGTGTGAGAGAGGGAGAGACAGAGAGAGAGAGAGAGAAAGGGGAGACAGGCGTGAGGTGACACGTTTTCAACGGGAAGAGAACGATAAAGCTCTGTAACAACAAAAACACATCCAAAGGACGTTACATAAAGAGGAAAAACCCAACCTTGAAGGTGCATGCATATTTGATGGGCTGGAGACCTTGATCTACGACAACAGATTAGTCTCTAGCAAGCCCCTATCAAGAATATTCCCTCCCAACTCTCAGGATCTTTGGGGAGGCTCAAGTATGAAATAGGCGTGAAATCACTTCGAAAAGTACGAACATTTTACAAATAAAAGACATCTTCTTTTTCAACAGGGGAAAAGCTCACTACTCTGGAAGAGGAGTAGATTGAGGGGTCTGGGAGGAGAAATTTTATTTTGAAATTCAGATTATTTATTTACAGTGTCTACCGCCGACTGAGGTGCACACCTCAAGATAAAAGCAGTCATACATCTGGGCCAAACAGGAGTTTTAGTTAACCACTCGTCCCGGCGGAGAGAATGCTGGGCAGAAATCGTGCCAAATTTCCTCAGGAACTTTTTTTCTTACAAAGCAAATTTAGCCCCAAAACGCCAATCTGGGGTAAAGTGTATCCACAGGGCCGCTGGCAAAGGCCCCCTTGTTCCAACCCAGGCTCCAGTCCCGGGCCTGGACGCCCCGCCCCAACCCCGACGACTGAGAGGACTCTGACTCCCAGCTCCCCTCCTCCCGAGCCAGACAGAGCTGAACCACAGCTGCGAGCTCAGGTCACTATATCACTGGTTTTCTGCCTTCACATCACAGGGACAACCAGACAATGACACGTGTACACAAACATGCACATTCATGCAGAAATGACAGGTCCCTACAGCATGGCTGACACGGGGAGTATTTTGGAATGAAACTGACTTTTGATGCTATTTTTATAAAAGAAGAGGTGAAGAATACTTGCTATACACAAAAGCCAATGGCTCCATTAAAACACTGAAGGTTAGTATTACATTCACACCGTCTTCTCCCAATCGGGGTCAGAGAATTATCCCTCCGTGACTTAACTGCTTCAAGTTTATGTTTTCTCCTCTTTGTAGTCCCCAAGCATAAGTCAGAACATGAAAACTAAATAAACGCACCACAGTTAACAGGCCAACAACGTCAGTAAAGTAAGAGATCAAGAGAATCACTTAAATTTCAACAGAAAAATAGTATGTAGACCCAACACTGGGAAAACCCGAGGCAAAGGAGAGTAGCTGAACGATCAAATTTGGAAGCTAATACCATTGTTTACAAGCATTTTAAGTATGAACTTCAGCTATCATTTAAATTGGTCCCCCTTCATATATTTTTTCCTTGTTCAAAGCTCATAACAAAGAGTGGTCAATTCAAAGACATGACGGGCAGGGAGGCTATGATGGGATTCACGCGGACAACGCAGACAACAAAAAGCGCAATTTCTGCTTGCACAGGTGGTTCAGGAATCAGACTCCTAAAGGCAACTTTATGTGACGTTAATAACATGCTGCAAATATCGCTAAAACCTGATCGCTTTGGGCTAATGTTATCAGCTGTTCTAACGTTACGTATGTACGTACTGAATTATATGCAAATACATCTTAAAATATTCACTTAGTCGCTGGATACTTCCAACACTTCTCGTAGAGAGTGTCTTACAGTTGGTTTTAAATTTCATTAGACACATTCGGAAACCTTTCAGGCCTCATACTAGTGGAGACCACCTTGCTGGTTTCAAGAGCTTTCTAAAGTGCACCGATTTCTGTTAGCTGTCGGTAAAGACAAGAGATTCAGTTTGTTGAAGTGAATATGCTTCCAACCGTGCTTCTGCATTTTCAGACTAAAGTCCTGAACACGTGTGCACACGCGTGCACGCTTTTGGCCCCGGCTCCCCCAGCTCCGCACGGTGCCAGCCCCCGCGGTCCCGGCCAGAGCGCCCCCTGCGGGCCCACCTGCTCCCTGTCGACTCTCCTCTTGTCCTCCTCCGCCCGCCTGCGCTCCTCTTCCTCCTGCCGCCGTCTCTCCAGCTCCTCCTGCCGCCGTCTCTCCTCCTGTTCCCGCCTCCGCTGCTCGCGCTCCTGCTGCCTCCTGGCCTCCCGCTCTCTCCTTTGTTGCTACGGAAGTAAAGCGACCCAGTCAGCAGACTCTGCAGCCACGGCACGGCACGCAGGATGGTCTGCTGACCAGTTACGGGGAGAGGCCGAGAGGGAGGGCTCGTGGACCCCACCTGCACCGGCCACCTACTGGCACACTGCCCCTCCGCTCACACACACCAGCCTCCTTGGAAGCACCCGTGAGAGGTGGGTTTCACGTGCTACCAGTTATTCCCCGTTCTTCGCGGAAGCACAGCAGTGAGGGGACAGGGAATGCTGTATCCTTCAGTATCACTGACAGGGTTACCCCGGGCCCTTAAGTCAGAAGAAAGAGAAGAGAAATGAATACAGGAGAACAGAAATAGCGCAGAGAAAGGAGAGAAATACTTAAAAGAGGAAAAAAGCAGCACACATCAGGGAGAGAAGAAGTGACACCAACGAGAATAAGAGATGCCATTATTATTACCAGGAGTGTATAAACTGCCACGAGCACAAGCTCGCTCTGTGTCTCGCATGGTGCTAAGTATCTAACAGTCTTCCTTCCGTGTCCTTTACCTAATACGATTCTCATGACAAACCTAGGAAGCACTTCACTCCTACTCCACAGAGGAGGAAACAGATGCAAGAAGAGAGAAGTGACTTGTCCAGAGTCACCTGGGCGGTAAGCCCCCAGGTCGAGGGCCACTGTGCCTCCCACCGTTAGTGAGATAGCATCCTGCATCCCATCAGCAAGTGCAGAAGGTGCTGTTGAGTCACCAGACTCGCTCCGACAGCCTTTTCTAACGCAGACTATCTGTCGACCCCTCGGTACCTGGCAGCGTGACCCTGGGCATACGTCTGGCCCCTTCTCATCCAGCCCCAGACATCTATCTGTCAGTAAAGCACTGCCACCGCGCAGAGTATAAATCAACCAACTCCTCCCACAAATGTGCAGAGTGCTGGCCTGCAAAGTGATGCAGCCACTTTGCAGCCCCCCTGGGATGGAGAGGTGCCCCATCTCAGCACAGGGGCCGCTGGCTGCAGACTGCTACTCAGCACCTGAAATGTGCCCAGTACATGAGGGAGGAACTGAGTTTTCCGTTTTATTTTACTAAAGTTAATTTACATTTAAATTGTCTCTAGCACAGCTCTAGAACCACAACCACAAGAGAGGAAGGCAGGTGGAGACTAACAATTCCCCTCAAAGTCAGTCAGACAAAAGGAAAACAGAAGAGAGAAGAAAGGCAACCAGTGTCGACCCCTCAAAACTCCCCCTTAGCTTTTCAAGCCAATCAGACTCAAGCAAACAGGTCAGAAGAGGCAAAGAATATCATACACTGAATTTTACCACCTTCAGGTAAAAACATGACTTGCTTATGAGCCAAGGTCTCACAAGCAGTGAACTGTCAGAGGACCGTCCCCCCTGGAAAGGTCTGGGCTTTCCCTTTCCCTCCCCACCTCCCGGGGGAGATGATGTTTGCCAGCAAGGCTCTACAGGCCAGCAAGGCAACCGGAGTTGAGGGGAAAAAACAAAAAACACACCCAGAACTTTTATGTTCTTATACTCCCAGCTCATTCTTTAAGATAGCTACTTTTGCACGTTTCATAATGTATATGTACCAGTACAATACAAAATTACTAGATAAACTCTCTATCAGATACATGCTCAATTTTTTTTTTTTTACTGATGGAATGCAAGATTCAAAACCTTTCCGGGCCGCTGCACTGCGCTAAACAACGCCATGTGACCACAGACACCACCGCAACAGCCTCAGAGATGCACCCGCTGCCCTGCCCTTACAAACCACAGAGGCTACGAAAATTCTTTAATTTTTAGGAACGATGCTGAAGGAAAGGTGCCACTTAGCCCCCTGGGATCACAAAACAAAAAGAAAAGCCATGGCTTCACTTGCTTTCTCCTCTCCTGTTATTTACAGAATCTTGAAAAATTCTTTAGTTCAAAAAAAGCAGGGCCGACGCCTTGGCTGTTATCAGCAAGGACTCTTCCAGAAAGAGCCAGACAAGGAGAAAAACTGCAGTGAGAGCCCTGGAAGCTGCCACGCTGCCCTGGAAGCAGGGCTGCACTCTGGCTGCCACACAGCCTTTAAGTCCAGATGCGGCCAAGTGTCCAGCTCACACCAGCCTCGAGGTTCAAATTTCTGTCTCCAGAGAAGACAACGGGAGATCGCAAAGGAAGAGCAGAGGGAGGGAGTGAAGCAGCGGGGGGGCTGGCTTCCCACACGCTGGCCCCTCACCAGCAACTCCAGCTGCCTCTGCCTACCGAGCGCAGGGCTGACCGTGGTCCAGCCCACGCCCAGGAGCCTTCTCAGCTCACCCCCTGCCTCGCAGCCCTGAGCTATGGTCGCCCGGAGTCCCGGGGAGTGACGGGACCCCGTGCACATCCTCTGGCGCCTCAGTGAAAGCACTCGTTCTCACACCGGGCAGGAAGCTCCAACGTGGTGAAATGTGCAGAATCCATTTCTGGGGGTTATTTCCAACTACACTGAGGGCAGGGCTCCCAGGCCGGTGGGAAACCTTGACTTCATCTAACTAAATGCTACTAAGAATTTTTAACTTTCAATTTTAAATGCCCTTACAGGTAGCCTTTTCCATTTTCATTTGTGTTTAAAAATTTTTAATCAAAGTACTAGACTTTAACCATCCTCAAGCCATAAGATGTACATCTTTGTTAACACCCTTTCTTTTATTTATTAACATTTGCTATGTTGCCGCCCCATGATCACTTATATCTAAAATGCCATGGTGCCATCTTGATTGTTAACCAGTGACTACCTGGAGAATAAAACTCCGAGGCCAATTTTTTAAAATTTAGAAGAATAAAATTTATATTTAAAAGAGTAAATAAATCTATGTTATTTTGTCCAAAATACATACATACATACATGCATAAATAGTAAAAAAAAAAAAAAAAAAAAAAAATTTATTAACATTTGCTATGTTGCCGCCCCATGATCACTTATATCTAAAATGCCATGGTGCCATCTTGATTGTTAACCAGTGACTACCTGGAGAATAAAACTCCGAGGCCAATTTTTTAAAATTTAGAAGAATAAAATTTATATTTAAAAGAGTAAATAAATCTATGTTATTTTGTCCAAAATACATACATACATACATGCATAAATAAAAAAAAAAAAAAAAAAAAAAAAAAAAAAGCCTTATTCTTGTTTGTTTGCCCGTTTTCTCATGGGCCCATCATAGCATCATCTGTAAAGTCTACACCGTAAGGCTCCTTTCCATATGGTCAAATGGGTCAGGTATTCTTTCTTTATTCTAGAGATTAACCCTCTCACAGCCCTTTCTCTTCTCCTGGGCCAACCTAAACAGGCTGCTCTCCAGGCATCCCATCCTTCTGCCCACCTGCTTCCTAGGAATACTTCTGGACCCTCTCCTGTACAGGATCCCCCGTCAACTTCTCTCTTATTTGCTGGAACACACCCTCTAGTAGTTTCCGGAAGAAGCGTGAAGACAAGTAGACGACCTGAGAGACTCTGTAGGTCACAAAAGCTCTGCTCCCATGCTGTGCATATACCTCTGGCTGGGGGCACTGACCTCCCTTCAGAGTTGCAAAGACACTGGTGTGTCACCTCCTACTTCCTGATGTTGCTCTGGAGAATCCGAGCCCATGTGGATCCTGGACACTTAGTACCACCCACACCCACACCCCTCTATCTGCTCCCCTGACAGCAGCTTTCACCATCCTCTTTTCATCCCTGAGTCTCTGAACTTTCAAGATGATGTATGTGCCTCTGAACGGCGTCTTTTCTCATTCACTGGGCTGGGTACTCAGTAAGCCTTTCAATTCAGAAATTATTTCTTAGTTCTGGAAACTTGTCTTGAATTCTTGCTGCATGTTCTCCCTCTGGTGTTCACTTCCTGGACCATTTGTTAAATGGGAGTCAAACCACCTGGATTGACTCTGTTTTTCTTCTGTTCTAGTCCCCCTAAACTTATCTTCTCTCCACACTTCCTGGGAGTCTGAATTTATTAAAAAATTTTTTAAATTTTTTTCTGAATAGTCCTGTTTCATGATTTTTATATCTTCTCTCTGTAAGGATATTAAGATTTCTGTGCATGTGTATATGTATGTGTGTGAGAGATTTTCTCTGTTCCCTACAGTGTCTCTATCTCCTTCACGCTCCTTTCGCTGTGTGTCTTGGAATCTTTCAAGTTAACGATTTTTCTGGGTCCTCAATCTTGGGCCATCTACTGACATGCAAGGCACTGAAAAGCAAGCTGTCAAGCGGTGGCCGTGAAGCTTCCAAGTTAGTGACTGTGAGGCAGCGTGGCCTCTTCCCTTGGGCGGGTGAGTCTCTGAAGAGAGGGATCTGTGCAGCACTGAGTCCTCAGGTGAGGAGAGGGTGCAGTGTATGGGGGCGCCTGGAATGCGCGTGGCACCAGAGGACGGGCTCCAGGCGAGGCGGGCGCGCTTGCCGTCATGCTCATCAGCACTTAGCTCTTCACGGATGCCCTTGTCTCAGCCTCCCTCTCCACGGCCTCAGCTGTGCCCGAATCTCCGCTGCTCGCCTGTTCCAGGTGGCAGGTGTCGGCTGAGAAGGGGGAGCAGAGCAGCCTGCCGCGGGGGGTGAGGGCCCACTGCTCACATATACCTGCTTCTGGCCCCCTCGCCACCTCCCACATTGGACTCTCTTCCAGCACTGGCAGCATCAACCTTCCCATGGTCTACGCTCTACCACACACTCACGTCCACAACTGGGCTTCCATTCTTGTTCTCCTTGTTTCGGACATCTTCAGTTCTTCACAGTCATTGCACTGGGATTCCTCAATGGAAGTGTGGTAAACATCAAGTTGTTTCTGTTCAACTCTTTACCAAAGTCGATATAATAAAGTTACTATGTAATTACTTAATTAAAATAATTTAAAATTATTATATTAAGTTTAATTCAAAACACATGTCTTAAAATGACAGTAAGCAAACACCTCACAAACAGGGACAGGCTACAACTAACGATCTCAGTTGTCAAGTGAAAGCCTCTGAAAGGCTTTTTCTTTTTGGTCCT